CCAGAGTTTGTTCCGGTTGTCGGTACTCCTCCGTGTTTCCGCCGGCGCTATCCTCAATGTGGTCCATTCGTCGCCGATCATGTCGCCGTTGTGCCCGCCGTCGTGCTCGCTCTTGTCGCTGTTCCCTTCGTCGACTCCACTGGTCACGCTCGCCCTCTTCCTTGACATTCTTCAGCCGTTGTTGTCCTCGTGACTGCAGGACCAACGCTTGTGCTTCGTCCCGTCGCTGAGCTTCCTCGCACATGACTGCGAAGACCCCGCCATCCCCAGGCATGAGCATCTCGGTTTCAGCAGAAGGTCCCGTCACTCGAAAGTCCTCCGGTGCTATCCCATCGTCCTTCTTCGCTTCCTTCACTTCCACCAGATCCCCTGTGGTTGACGATGACGCCACCGTCACTGGAGCCGGTCCCTCTGTGTCATCCCTGTAAGCAGGTTTGTCCGCATCCGGTTGGGTTCTGTCCCCGTCGGGGAAGGTCGTGGCTGGCCCCTCAGCTACTCTAGTACTCTCATTGACCCCAGTGTCGAATGTGTACCCCGCACTCACATTATTCCGCTGGTATTCGTCCTTGCTGTTGTTTCCGACGTGGGATCCAGGCGCTCTGGCTCCGCCATCCCCAGCATTTGGTCCTCGATCTTCACCAAACCGCACGCGTCGTTGCTGCCGCTTGTCGAGCTGGATACGCAGCGCTTGGTTTAGGGTTTCCCCCGCCTCTACCGTCTCGGTTAGGTTCTCGACTTCCCCTCTCTCTTTCTCCACTGAACGTCCGTCTTTCAACTGAAACTCTTCAGTCATCTCTCCCCCCCCCCGTACCGGTCGGACCACCCGTAATTCCAGCACTCTATCCCCTCTTTTCAGCCGCCGCTTCTTCTCCCGTCCACTCCTCTGCTTCAAAGGCCGTTCTTCCTCTCTCAGACTTCCCCGTGGTCGCTTCGCATGATGCAGGACCGGGGCCCCTACACCCGCTGTCCGTTTCCCGACCCGCTGTTATCTTTCTGTTCTTCATCGTCAGCTTGGTTCACTACAGGACCCGCGTCTTCCATGTCAGCCTTCTTTAACTTACACTCGTATGCGTGATGTCCCAGACCGTGACAATAGTAACACATGTCTTCCGGTCTTGACGTGGAAGTCCTGATTACTGGTCGTTGCTGTCCCCGCTGGTCTAGGTATCGCTGGTGATTCTGCATTCTCTCCTCCTTAGTGCGTAGTGGTTCCCGACTACTGGACTTCCGTCCCCCGTACCATGTCTGTTGCGACTGCTGGCTGACATTCTGACTCTCCATCTTCCTCGCTTTCCCCGTCGTGCGGCTAGGCTTACTGTGCTGATCTGTCCGTGGTCCTTGAGCTTGCGTGGAGGGATGTCCTTGGGCCGAAGCGTTATTGCATGTGTTCACCTCGTACCCTCTGGGTTCCACCTCTGCTGGTACCAGCCGATAACCCACCGGGACAACTGCATTCCACTGTCCTCCTCCAGGCAACACGGTACCTCCGCCTCGTACTTCTATCCGCCCTTCAACATCATACCGCGGCTTAAGACCCGTGGCTAACCCGAAGTCACCGTAGCCAGTCACCACAGCTCCCAGGTTGGCCCCATTTCCCGAATTACTCCCTCCTGCCACTTGTCCTGCAAACACTCCCGTCGGAACCAGTGGAGCTGCTCCATGTGTTGCCTGCGGGGCTGCCACCCCTCCTGTCACCGTCCGTGCGTCATGTGCCTGGATAGCTGCTAGTAGCCCAACCCCATAGCCTTCGCCATACTCTCCAACTTGGTCGACGGCCGCGTTCACCGCTTCGTTCAAGGTTGCTGGTCGGTGCCCTCGAACCAAGGTCGCGTGCCACTTGTTGCTCATTCCACCCAAGAAGGAGTCTACCAACCACTCATCATCTACGGGATTACTGGAGGCTATCTCCCGGAGTTTCTGAGCGTATTCAACGAGTGATTCTCCTCGCTGCTGTGTCCTCTGCCGTAGCCGAGCTACCACTTCTGGATTCGATCGTTTGACCTTGTATCGGTCCCTCAGCATTTGGCTTAACCTGCCGAAGGTCTGGTTCTCCCAGTGCTCAAAGGCGTCCTCTACCGAATCGTACCATAAGAGCGCTTCACCTTCTCGGCTCGCCACCATCTCAATAAACACCTCGTGTTCGCGCCATTCGGTTCTCAAGTTACCTGTCGCCGCAGCTCATTCTTCACTGCCTTTAACCATGCTTTAACCGTCAACTTCGGTTCGTCCAAGCTTTTAAATTTCGGCAACCGGAGTTTCTTTTCCTGCCGAGGTGCCTTGTAGACCCACGCTGGTGTCGACGGGGCTGCGTAAAGCGGTGCAGTTGCTGGGGGTGGAGGGGGGGGGGGTACGGGTAGCGCTGCCGCCCGTTGTCCACCCTGAGCTTGGTAGCCGCCCCCTACTCCATCTCCTGCTGGTCCTGGCGGTGCCTGTCCTCCTGGCTGCCCTCCGTCTCCTCTCCCGTCATCGCTACTACCACTGCTTCCCTCTCCATCATCGCCTCCAGTATTAGCAACGATACCTGGCCGAACTCGCGGTACTGCTTGAGCCGCTGGATCCTGTGGAATTGGTGGGGGTTGTTGAATATGTAGCACTTGTCGAACAGGCGGGGGTTGCTGCTCCTCGTCTTGCCCTTCCCGTAAATCCACCATGACGATATCCTCGTCATCATTACCAACTCTCGGCGTCTGACCCGTAGTAACTCGAATGTTCGCCGATGTAGCCACTGCACTACCACGTAACACTGCATGCGACTGCTTCGAAGCCGCTCTCGGTGTGCGAGGCGTACTTACTTGTGCCACCCGCCTCTCTGCTCTCTGCTATCTGGGTGTATTAGCTCGCGGCATCCTCCTAACGTCACTCAGCTAATTTCTCCTGGCCCTGTAATACACCGTAATACGTTTAGTACGCTTCCTTTTGACCTCACTCCTTATCTGTATCTGAGTGGGGATCACGACACTCCTCCGTATCATCTACTACTGTTTCCAGTCAATGGATAGGCCTGTAGTGCCTAGTGCCCGTATCGCACCACCTGTCACTGTGTAGGTGTCCTCTGGCTTTGGTTCTTGCCCTCTGTGACTAGGCTCGCAAAGCCTTTCAACTTTGCCCAGAAAGCCACTGTAATGACCACCATGTCGGCTACCCGTCCTTTTACGTATGGAGTCCAACCGAAGGGAGCCAGGTGACATACGAGCCGGAGCTAGAAGTAGCATGATACCGGTGACCAACCGGCGGACATTCTGTCCACAGAGACGGCTAGGGAGAAGACATTTCCGGCAGCTACGGGTACGGGGGTCCCGTAGCCCGTCCTCATGCACTCCCGTTATATAGCGTGTAATATACAGATTGAACTACACCTTTCACTCACTTCAGGTGCATTCGACAGTCGAGACGCGAACGATACGCATCACAACTTGCACGGTTGCTAGCCGTGATCCCCGCCACTCTGCACACCCTCCTTCGTCACCGCTACCGCTGAACTCTATGCCTACCTTGCCAATTAGTCCAAAAGGTCCCCACCAGCCTGTATTGCTGTCGAAATGGAGCCGCCCTTCCGGAAACCTCCGCTGCTGTTGGGTAAGGCTGGCCCGAATTGCCACAGAACCTCACAGGAATACGTTTCTTAGCCGCTATCTTCTGTCTGAGCGTGCAGAATTGTAACTGAGCGGTGGGGTCGCGGCCGCGGCCCTAACGCTCCCGTAACTACTGCTCACTGTAGCTAATCCTATCTTAACTATAGCGTCCGCTACTCCCTTCGATATTCATGCTAAACGGCTCCTTGCTGGTCCCTTTCGGGTTCATCCGTTGCTAGTCGATGTCTTCTTCCTGGTTCATATAGTCTGGTCCCTTTTCCGCTTGTCGCGTCGTCCCTCCCCGCGATCTTCCACCGTCTCTGGTATCCGTTAACTTCAACGTCCTCTGCTCTCTCGTCCGGTGCCCGTGGTGCCGTGGTACCAACCGGTACTTCTCAGTCACCGGCTGCCCATAATCCACTTCAACCTCACTTTCTTCACTCGTCGGTCAGATCAATGATCTCAGCGGCGCGGACCTCGGTATCACCTGTCCACATTATCTTGCGTTTTACCCAAGCGACACCCTGGATAGCTATTTTATCCGTATCGATTACTGTGAGCATGTCGAAAATTCCGAACGACATGGCAATGGAAGCCTCGTCGTTTGGCATGCCATACTCGTTTAGTTTCCTTCTACACGCTTGCTTGAAGTGAAACAAGCAACCGACAATGCGTGTAAAAGGAAACAGACCCCGTATAGCAAGAATCATGGCACCTTCGAAGTCACACACGACATCTCCAAGCTTAATTTCCTTCCTTTCCCAACGCAAACTCGATGCAGGTGAACATTTTAGTGTACAGTGTTTCTGTTTTGTTCGTTGCCAACGTGAAAAATACAGGCACAAACAGCTCTGTGTATTAGTCGTACATCATTAGTGTCACAAACGGATGGAAAATCTTATGAGTGCAGCGAAACGTGCCATCGACAAACACATGGGCACCGTCAATACGAAGCAAATTGCGAAGCTCAGGGTGCGACCAGCCAACCAGCCTCTCAATCCCTGACTTTTTTCTGCTTTGCTCTAGTGTCATTATGCCACACGTACTGGAACTGAAAAAACCAAGATCACTTCCAGATACTTTGGATCTCTCTCTCTCTCTCTCTCCTCTCTGGACTCTCCAGTAAAGGAAAAATATTGTTTCCCGATTTTGAGTTTCCAACACGTGAAACCACTCGCTTACGAGAGAGACCGCGAACATCACATGTCGAGTTTTCGTAAAACTTTTTGTATGCCAACGTCCAAATTTTGTTTGCTGAAATATCTTGCTCAGCTAAATCGTCGACAAAAGCATTCATTTCTTCTTTTACATCGAAGCAGACCGAATCATCACTTGCCAAACCAGCTACGGGTCTGCTTTTGCATGTATGTGGAACTGAGTTCTTAAAGTCGTAGGTCATAGTATCAGCGTAGAAGTACAAGACTGCACAGCTTTGGCTTTCTATAGAAGCTGCATCTGTAAGTTATTTTGACTGTTGAAATGTTTGCACGAGTGTACTCAAAACCCTGGTGGTAAATTTTGATTTTACCATCGCGGCTTTGCTGTTGGGAAAATGTCTGCGGCGATCCAACCCGTGGGGGACGACCAGGAGAAGCCGGTATCAATGCTTGATCCTCGACAGCTTGGTCAGGCTACCAACACAGAGATAATGGGCTGGATGCGCATGAACCTGGCGCAGATGCCAAGCGCAGCGTCGGGAATTGGATCTGTATCGGCGTTGCTGGTTGTGTTAGAGAGAAAGGCTCGTCTAATGTCAACAACGACGCTTCATTCTCTTCTTGTGTGTGGTGAGGACTTGTTGAACGGGTTAGCGGACGAGATGTAGGCGCGTATCGAGCTCTTAGCCCTTTGGATGACGAGAGTGAGCGGCTCATCAGCAACCGAAGGAGTTTCTGACAATGATCGCCCAACCTTCACCCGCTGAAGTGTTTTCATACGGCTTCGTTGGTTACGTTGGGTATCCAAAACTATTTAATAATAGGCTTGTGAATTGGCTGCTTCACGATGAATCCCTACTTTGGCTTCGCACTTGTAGAAGCATCATTGATCTTTAAGCTTTTCTTGCGTGACCAACGATTATTAGGACACGTGATAATACGTGATCAGCTGGATTGGTCACGCGACCAAAGTCAATGATTATGGCATGACCAAAGTCGTCAGTGACCTAGTATATAACCTGCTCTCAAGCCACTACTTGTCAAATATCTCTTGCAACCACAAAGCCATGACCTACTCTGATGACTTTCGCTGGAGGGCCATCGTTTGGTTCACGTCTACGGAGTGTCTATTGAACACATTGCATCGCTCCTTGGGCCTAAAGAGCGAACAATTCGTCGGTGGTATGCTCTCTTTCTAGAGCGAGGGACGGTCAACGAGCACAGTGAGCAAGAGCGGAAAGTGCGATGGCCAGCAAACGTGCTCGCCTCTGTTACCAAGGATGTACAAGAGCATCCAACTTTCTACATTGAGAAGCTCCGCGAACATATCATCGAGCAATTCCCGTCATCCCAGTTGTGTCGCTGCTTAAATTTCCATCTTAATTTCAGTCGCAAAGTGTTGGAAAAGTCTGCTCGTGAAGCCATTCCTGCTGAAATTCAAGTTTACCGACAAAAATTGCTGCCACTCTACCCTAATCCGGAACAACTAGTTTTTCTTGACAAAACTGGCTAAGGACGAACGTCAGCCTCCACGAGCCCTTCCATGAATCTGACCAACTCGAACCACTAGTGTTGCCACAGCGCGCTCATGCAGTACCCGCAAACCATCAGCGTCATCACGGATAGTTTCTACTGACCACGGCGTAGTCGCAGTAACACCTCGAACGACGTCAACGGTTTCTGTAGACGAGCGTTGGTTTGCTTCGTGGATATTATTCATGTATCGCGACAGTAGGGGGAGATGAGAAAGCTGCCAAACGTATAATGAGTACGCTAGCACAGGCAAAAAAAGAACAATGGTAGAAAGTTCAGATTAGTTAAGCAAAATATATAGGCCACAGCCGACCAACCTTATTACCACCTCGCAACACCTCTTTCGTAATTATTGCAGGCACACCAGCTCCAGCCTGTACCTCTACATCTGTCCACCGACCCCTTGGCAATCAGAGCACTTGTCACCTTGCCCGGCGACGCGTAGTCAAGGAACTTACCAGCCAATTCGGCCAGTTTCATCTCCGCAGCATCGTCCGGACCAGAGCCGAACTCCTTCTCGAGGTCACCGACTGGTCCGAGATAGGTAGCTAAAACCGACAGCAAAAACCGTGAAAGTCACAATACCTGCTTTTACTCAAAGACCCGGCAAAGAGATTTCCCAGCATACACTGTGCGATTGTCTTTCCTGGAATCCACTATGGATACACGGAGCTCCCCACATTCGATGGCAGTGCCCTCACTCGTTTTAACTACAGGTGGCTTCAGAGTCTGAGTCAGACTGTCTCTGATAGAGTCCCGCCAATCGGCAGTCACTTCGGGGCTTGAACGGATTGGAAGGTGCAAATCCTAAGTTTTATTACCGTATAAGAGATCTCATACTTCGTTCTCCATTTTTCTGAAGTTGGAGATAGTAGCTAAATTGTTTCAGGTTGGGGGATCCCACTCAGCCCCTCGTCAAGCTTGAGCATCTTAAAGACGTCGTCCGAGGATGTGGTTTTAGTTGACAATGCCTTACGGTACTTGCCAGCACCGTAATCACATCATCAGTCACTACGACTTTCGGTACAGTGCCTTTCATCCAGCTTTTGAGGTAATCGGAGACACTGCGAATGTCCATTGCTCCACTCTCCACGCCACCATCAGCCACTTTGGTATGCGATCGCAAAGCACGCTTGGGTAGCAGTGTGGTCATTATTGGAGCTCAACTGGGAAACCGTCGTCACCGCTGCAGCTACAAAGATAGCAAGCAACATAAGCATGAGCTGATACCGCATAGCGTTTGAATACAGTCGAGAAAATGATGGTGGTAGGCGCCAAAGATCAATTGTAAATGACCGGGCGGATCAGAACATGGGGATGGGCTCACCCTGTGGATTACTCCTGGAACAGTGTGATTTGACGCAACAGTGTTCATTCAATAAGCATTCTCTTACAATTATCCGTGATTGGTTCACGGAATATCGTGTTGCAGATCTGCAACACTAACGGTATTGTTTTAACAGAAGATGACGTTTGGAACTAGTATATTGCGATACGGCGTAATACACCGTGGAATACTTCTTCGTTTTAACACCCCTTGCGTGCTAAAACTGCACATTTTATAAGAGCCTGTCCAATCACAAAACTTACCTGATAGCATTCTATACTGTGATAGGACGAGGCAGTTGTTGGATGGAAGAATTATAGCTCCAAGGTTAACACCAGCAGGTGGTATATATAGAGTATTTCTCTTTTCTGTCGATTTGTGGCGAACTTAACAACCTTAGGTATACCGGAGTCGGGTAGTGTGAGCTACTCCGGTACATAACAAAGGTCTACGAATCTACGTTATTAATGATGCTTTTATTTTGTGGGCGGGACACACAGCAAACTAAGCACATGCAGTTTATGTACAAATTGTAATACCGCCCATGTATCACGTACGTGGAAACAACTGTTTGCGAGCGCAACTAATACAATGCCATCCTTTACTAATAGTTTGCCGGATAATCGTACAATGTAGTTTCGTTGATATTCTGTTGCCATTTTCCTTCAGTCTTCAATAGCCACCTTGGTTGACGAATATCAACTCAATGCGAGCCGTGGCGAGAGTGTTTGCGCTTCTTTTGTTTTTCACGACGGCTCTGGCCTCGGTGGACAAGCCGAGATTTTCACAGTCGCATATCCGAAGCCTTTTCCAGCCACTTCACCTTCGCATCATCCTCACAGGGGATTCAATGCAGATCCACGGACAGCTTGTCTTCGACGTTTTTGCCAGCCCGGTTCTGTCTGCCGACAACTCCAGCGTACGCTACGATGGCGTCGCCACATTTATTGAGGACGAGAAGGAATTTACGTACGTTCTTGCAGATGGAGCGGCATACCTCGCAGAGAGTTCACGTGTCCAAAACCACATCAAGCGGAAAGTGAGATGTCTTTCAACGATCACCCCCTTTGATGAAATTGTGTCGGCGCTAAATAACCTCACGGTTACTCCATACTCAAGCATTCAAGACATTCCTTTTGACTGTGCAAGCAAAACGGCGTACACGACATCTTTCGGTGGTGAGAAATTCGTTTTGTGCCAGGCCCGTGATGCAGATTACGGTTTTGTGGCATACAGTGATGTTGTCATTATGGTAGTGGAGTATATGAGCGGTGACCTCAACATATCTGCTCCGACACCCACTGATGGAGCAAAATACTGTAAGACTGTTGTGGAGGCTACCACAATTGGTCCCACTGCTCGAGCACTCCTCACTGGTTGCGTATCGACGTAGGCCGAAAAAAAAAAACACGCTAACGAACAAGATAAAATAATGTCAATTTCGGGATCTCAAACCAAGATTTTTTTTTTTAAGTTAACCATTCCACCCTGAATTAGAAACCACATGATTGTTGTTGTGAGTTTACTCCCATTCCCCAAAATGACACACCGGCACATACGATCTATTCGTTAGAGCGGCGATTTCTTTGGGCCGTCGGGCTGAATTAACATAACTGTTAGTCCAGTATTCTCCCTCAAAAGGCTCATCCAAATATAAAACTAGATCAGGTGACAATATCTAGATTCAATTCTGCTGCTAACACATTTTAGGGGGATAGCAAGCGTAGGCTAGCTACGGGAAACCAACGAGGATTAATCTAAGGAGTTAACTTCAGTTAGGACAGGGTTGGTGTGTTTGGCAGTGCTTTCGATAAAGAAACATTTTTTTTCTCCAACACTGTCTACGACGCCGACCATCTGATCCGTATTAAAAAGTGATGGTACAGTGACGAAGAGTTGTTTTTGAATTTATTGCTCCACAACATGTCCCAGCCCGCAGCGTGGTGGTTGCGGTAGCGATCACTAGGTTAAATAGGACTATTCAGTGAAAGGACTGCCGCCGGATCAATTAAGTAACGTAAGCATCACAATTTATTTTTCCACCATGTAATAATGCAGCTTCCTAATTTATTGTCTGTACTGGAGGCATTTGGTGGAATATCTACTCTCGTATTGCAACCTTCACGATTGAATGGTTGGTACCTTGTACCGATTACACCTTCTCAGACACCGGTAGTTCCGACGGTCTGCATGCAGAGTATGCGACATACGCAACTCTGCTATGCTATCCTAATATCTGCGATACTTCAGAGTTTGCGGACCCCACAACCAACATCTTTTTCAAGAGCTTCCTGGCAACCAAATGTGACCCCAAGTTCGCAACAAATTTATGGTTTATTCAAGGAGGTCCCGGACATGCTTCCATTGGCGGTGAGTTTATGTTAGTTTTTGTGCTTTTTTCTAGTATATACTGACGCAGCCTCTATTCCTAATGACAGTGGAAATCGACATGCTGGAACTGCACCCGATTCTGAAAGGAGAGCTAACATGTACACGATGGACCATGGCGGAACTGGGCGAAGCACTCGACTAGACTGCGTAGCGGCTCAAGCGACAAGAACCAGCTCCCCGTTGGGAGATGGTATTGCGATCTCAGAAGTTAGTGGGCGTAGCAACGCATTAATACGGAGATCTCGCTTCATTCTCGATGACAAGCGCTGCCACTGATCTTTCGGCATTTATTTCCGACCACTCCAATGGAGCTAGCACAATCGTGTACGGGGCAACCTATGGCGCTGCTGTGGTGGAAAGGCTGATACATTTGGCGCTTCCTACAGTCACAGGGTATGTTATGGACAGCATATCCACAAGCTCAGGAGCGTATCTCAAAATTTTTGAGTACATGTCAACGTCGGATACTGACTTCGGTGAAGTCCGTGATAAGGTTCTTTAGCTTTGTGAACTGGATCAAGAGTGCAGAACCTACTTTAACTCCTCGGGACTTTCCACAACACTAGAAAGTTTGTTTCACCGGTTCGACAGTAACCCAAACTCGACCTGTGCCGCTTTGGTAATTGACACAGACGATGAAAGGATCGACGAACCCGTCTGCAAGTAGCTCACTCATTGCTGACCGACAGTCGATAACTGTTCTAGGTGCACCACAAGTCCCAAACTTCTCTCAAAGCGCCAGCCTCAAAATGAGGCAACAAAAACAGTTGAGCCTTGTACATTCGCATCAGAACGCACTTCATATCGTATGTGCAAGAACAGAAAATAGCTAACATTGATAAAAATCTGGAAGTATGACCCCCACTCCATTCTACCCGCTCACAGAATTACTGCGCTAATTCCCTTCAATGTGTGGCGCTTAACACCAATGAATTTCTGAAGGGGTCAGCTTAGAAAAGGATTTGGCCGATGACGACGAAGAGAGGGAGAAAAAAAATCTTGGAATATTTGAGCCATTCAAGTAAGCATTTCATTCATAAAGAACATAATCGGCTGTATTGCAAAAACAAAACACGCAGCTGAACATGGTTCGGCAGGAAACACTTTTAGGGAAGCAGCTCAAAGGTCTTGCTAAGCTTCAAGCTGCACAGAGCTTGCAGTACCACCACGAAGCGCTTCGATCTCACTATGTCAGAGGTCTCGCCATACCACCCAATAGCGCCTGAATAGGTAACGTCGCAAAACGTCTGTCTTTGCGTATGATGCACAGTTTCATGATAAATCAAGTTAAACACGATTTCGTAATAATTATCTTGAAAAATAAGTTTTGTAGAATGGAGATGCTAATATTTCGCACTTCACCTGTTTTTCCCAATAAATCTCGATCACTATGGCAAATCACCAGGTCAAAGTTGGGACAAGTATTGTGGGTTCTACTCAAAATCTCCATGGGCGGTTCTTTGAATGAACCTCCCCCAAATCGCCCAGCGTATACAATTCCATCGTAACTGGTGCGCTGGGGCTTGCCCGATTGGGGTTCTGTGATGAACTCCCTGGCCACGCTGAGGCCGGCGTACGCGCCTGGCGGTGGCTGTACTCTTCTTCAAGGGCCACTTGAATCGCCTCTTCGAGGGTGCGTGACTGCACCCGGAACAGCTGAGTGTGTGCCGAGCCCACTCGAAAGCCGTCCATGAACTATCATCTTGATGCGTTTTATTACAGTCGGTAGCCCACTAGGGATGCCGTAAGCTCCCGCATCTCTTGGAT